AGGGCTTGGGATATGCCGGAGGTCCAGTCTCAGTGGAGTGAAGAGGAGAAAATGGTTGCCGTGCTCCTGATGAGAGATTTTGCGAAATCGGGCATTCACCTTCCCGATAACCAGAGACGGCAGTTTGTCTCTCTGTCGAATGATATCGTCCAACTGGGAACCGATTTCATCAACCAGATGAGCCATGCGAGGGATTGGGAATCTTTCACTGTTGGCCAATTGGATGGTATAGATCCCACATTGGTCCAAGGCTACAAGAACCACGAAAAAGTACAGATTCCTGTATCGAGTAAATGGTCCAAAATGGTCCTGGGTTCCGCTAAAAATCCTGCGACGAGGAAGGAAATGTACATTGCTGAGAGAAGCGCTTCCAAAAGGACCATCACAACCCTTGAAAAGTTGCTGCTACGTCGTGCCCAACTTGCCAAACTCACGGGATTCGACAACTTCGCACAGATGACTCTGATAGAGAAAATGGCCAAGACACCAGAGGCTGTGAACAACTTTCTAGAATCTGTCAATGCGAAAAACAAGATACACGTACAAAAGGAACTCGCTCCGCTTCTCGAGCTCAAGCGCAAGGTGGACCAAGGTGCTGAAGAGTTGAATCCATGGGATCACCACTATCTCCTGGCGAAGCTAGACCAACTGGAGGGAGCTGCAGGTCCTCGAACATCCAAGTCGCGCTTACGGGAAAGTGCCAAATTCTATTTTGCAATCGGCCATGTCATGCAGGGCCTGTCAAGCTTGTTTGAATCTCTGTATGGAGTCCGATTTGTGCCCAGGGAGACCAAGCAAGGTGAAGTCTGGCATCCAGACGTCAGACGATTGGACGTGTACACCGACAAACAAGAACACATTGCTACCATGTATTGCGATCTGTTTTCACGGCCTGGGAAACAAAGTCACCCGGCTCACTTCACGCTTCTGTGCTCACGAGAAATCTCGGATGAAGAAGTCCGTGAATGCGCAGAGCGCAATGAGCCACTGAACAATGGCATGCCGACACTTGTCAGCACCAACCCGACGTCAGGCGTGACCTCTCATCATCAAATCCCAATCATCGCACTGGTATGCGGCTTCCCACAATCCAGTGTAGCCGGCGAACCTGCGTTGCTTTCCCAATATAGCCTCGTCTCGCTGTTTCACGAAATGGGCCATGCTATCCACAGCGTTCTCGGCCGCACCTCCATGCAAGGCATATCGGGAACACGAGTAGCAACAGATTTCTCCGAACTGCCCTCGGTTCTGATGGAAAACTTTGCCACAGACCCAGCGGTCTTGAAACTTTTCGCCAGACACTGGAAGACCGACGCTCCTATGCCCGAGGAGATGCTTCAAATTCTTGCCGAGGAAGGGTCAAAGGAAGCTTCGAGACAGGGCGCCTGGAACAACGAGAGCCAGATTCTCATGAGTATCCTGGATCAGGTGTACCATGGAGACGGACCTGTCCAAGCTCTCCGAAGCGGGCGCTACGACTCTACGGCTGTATATTACGATGTGTGGAACAAGCACGGCTCCGTGCCCGAGCCATGGGGCACCTCGTGGCAAGGATTCTTTGGCCACCTCCACGGCTATGGCGCGAGTTACTATTCGTACTTGTTTGACACGGCGATTGCGCGACGTGTCTGGACAAATGTTTTCCGGAGCGGCAGGGACAGCGGCGCAATTGACCGTGCCAGCGGAGAGAGGTTTAAAGAGGAGGTCCTCAAATGGGGCGGTGGGAGGGATCCCTGGCTCTGCCTCGAGGGCTTACTCGGCGAAGGGAAGGGAGTGCTGGCAGAGGGTGGAGAGGAGGCCATGTTGGAGGTGGGACGATGGGGAGTTGGTGTCGGCGCTGGGTCCTTGGATTAAAGCGTAGCGACGGGACAGAGCAGGTTCTCTTGGTCTATGGATGACCGACCCTGTAAATGTACTTTGTAAAAGGACTATTATTATGCACGGCCCCCCATTGTTCTCTTTACCGAGTATATATTTATCTATCAGCCAGGGGACTGCCGAACTTAGCTCGACATAGGATCTTCATCTTCTCTTGGTTGAGTCCTATAGCGCTGCGCTTCCCTTTCACACCCACAACACCTCGGGCCTTTGCTGGAGGATCAGGGAATACACCTCGATGTCAATCGCGAGTGAATCAGGTCAGAAAGGGGGCTTGGTTTCATCAGGGGGGGAGTCAGCAGCACAGTGTTAACAGGAACAAGATCGCCAAAAACAGGTCCAAATGCAAGATCTTAGGCATACGCCCAGGCATTGCCACGAGATATTCCCACACGACTCCTCGAAATATTCGCCAGGAAGCCGTTTGTTGGCCTCCCTCCTGACGACCTGCCGCTATGATACTTCACGTTCCGACCTCCGACGACCAATAGGGTTGCTGGCCCTTCTACCCCGGGATTGATCCCCACAATTGGCCTTTTGCCCATTGAACCCCGGGGTAGCTACTCGGGTTGTCCCTTGATGGTCTTGTTTTGACGACTCGTTCTGCAATTGAAAGATCTCTTCTTACTCTCTCCACGACAGATCGCGATCGGCGCAGACCTCTCCGCGCCCCATTCGAGGATGGCTATTCGTGGTATCTTGACAAGGCTGAGGTTCCATCCACCGGTACAACCTGTCCTGTCTCGCGAGGAGGTACTGAAGTTCCACAATGTCCTTTGCAAATATAACCCAAGTCAATGTCGCCGGAGTCTCATGACAACGAAATGTTTCGCCCCGAGAGTCATTAGGCGATCGGTTGGGTCTCTATCTCCTGCACGGGCAACCGACCATGATACAGGCCTTGCTCCCTTTCGCAAGGACGACCTGCCACCTGAGTTGGAAGTGCCATCCCCTGTGACCATTGACGACGTCGAAGCAACAAAGTGGTCTGAAACGACGGACGTCCTGGTCGTAGGGTTTGGTGCTGCCGGTGCCGCAGCAGCCCTCCAGGCTCGCGAGTCCGGCGCCCAGGTGATCGCGGTCGACCGTTTTGGGAATGGCGGTGCGACATTCTTCAGTGGCGGCGTTATTTACGCCGGGGGTACAGAAGCCCAGCGCCAGAATGGTGTCAACGACTCGCCCGAGGAGATGTTCAAGTACCTGAACACCGAGGGTTGTCCTGTTCGACCGGAGACGTTGCGAAAATTCTGTCAGGACAGTGCTGGCAATGTCGAATGGGTGGTCCAGCATGGCCTGCCGTACGGTGGCCCAGTCTTTACCGAAAAGACAGCATTTCCACCCGCGCCGTACAAGATCTACTATTCGGGCAATGAGGCCATGCCCTCGTATGCGGAAAAGGCCAAACCGGCGCCACGCGGCCACATGGCGGCGGGTAAAGGCTTTGGAGGCTCCAAGTTGTACAAGACCCTCCGCGACGCTGCGGAAAAGGCAAAAGTCAGGTTCCTACCTCATACAAAAGTGACTCGACTTGTTGTCGACCGTGAACGTCGTGTTGTCGGTGCCGAGGTGCTCACTCTCCCTCGGAGCCTGTGGAAACAACACGATAAACTCTTCAATATAGTGCACCCGTGGGTACCATTCAATGCTGGTCGGTCTAAGAAGGCCATCCACGAGGCGACAGACATGGAGGCCCAGGTGACCGAGCGGAAGCTAATCAGGGCCCGACACGGCGTTGTGCTGTGCTCTGGCGGCTATAATCGTAACCTGTCACTGATTGAGAAATACCAACCCGTTCTCGCAAAGCATTACGAAAAGACGTTGCCGCTGGGCTCCATCAGCGACAATGGAGCCAGCGTTGCTTTGGGAGCGTCAGTAGGGGGGGTATCGTCACTGCTGAGCCATATCAGTGTTGCAAGGACAATGGTACCTCCCAACGTCTACGCCAATGGAGTACTGGTCAATGCTCACGGCAAGCGGTTCATCAACGAAGGAGCATATGCGATGTTCATTGGTACGGAAATGCTCAACCAGCCAGACGGGAGGGGCTATCTGATCCTCGAATCCCGAGACTTCTGGTACGGCGTGTACAAGTCTTTCTTCACGGGAGGGAACTTCCTGCTCTGGGGGGCCCCGGCACTCATCAACATCTTCTTCGGCGGTACTCGACGAGCTCGATCGCTGGAGAAGCTTGCGAAGAAGATTCGCGTCCCTCCGCAGGGACTGAGAGAGCAGATCGAGGAGTACAATAGCGCCAGCCTCTCAGGCCAGGCGGACAAGCTGGGCAAGTTGAAAGATATTTTCCGGCCGGTTGCCAAGGGTCCCTTCTACGCTGTCAACGTATCTCTCGGGAACAAGTTCAACCCGGCGCAGTCGATTACCATGGGCGGACTGGTCGTGGACGAGCAAACGGGAAACGTCAAGCGCGAGGATGGCAGCGCGGTGCCCGGCCTGTACGCCGCCGGGAGAGCAGCCGTTGGGGTTTGTTCGGGCGGATTCGTCAGTGGGATGGCACTGGCCGATGCCCTCTTCAGTGGTCGTCGAGCGGGCCGTACTGCTGCCACTCGTCCGCTCGCGGCCTCAGGGTAGAAAGCACCAGCTAACTTGGTGGTGATTGTTGGATGTCACTGTACATAGTCGGACCTGTCCGTCCGGCCATCTTTCTTTGGTGTGTCATCGGTTTGATTTTTCGTCGGGTACTATACAGCGTATCAGGGGCTTGAGAACAGAATTATGTCGTTAATTGCCCTTCTTAGCGGGCCTGCGCTACAGGAGGAGTTCGCCCGCAATTAGATGCACAAGAGAGAGAGAGAGAAGAGAAGAGAGAAGAGGAATATTAGATTGTCAAGGTGTTAGACTGTGATCGCCACATACTGTAGCACGCGACTGCGCGTGAGGAAACGCCAAGGAGTAGTAGCCTTGTCGCTATAGTACCGCTGTGGGGTTATTAGTGGATTGATTGCCAAGGGGTTGTTCCCACTTTCGTGCCAATATAGACTCCTCTCGTCCCCATAGCTGGTTCTCCTTCCTTTATACCACTGCGAATTTCACCTTCTGCCACGTTCAAGTCAAGTAGCTTCCTCCTAATACATGTGTCAGACCCGAGGATAGTATTTGTTACCAATTTAGGCCGCGACGACCTTGATTTCGCGCTGCTCAGTCTTGATTCCTTGCAGTTTTCGAGCGACTCTGTCAGTCATGGCATCCTCGAGCAACTTGTCCTCCACCAAGAGCGCGGCAATCACAGCACAAAAAGAAAAAGCGATCGACGAGTAGTACACCATCTGGAACGACTTGAAAAAGGCAGTGTGAGCAGCATCGGTGGCACTCTGGATGACCTGCGGAGTAATGCCTGGGATCGTGGCGAGCGCCGCTTGATCGCCAGCAGCGATGTCCTGGACCAGCTGGATGGCCGCGTTCTGAGTTAGGCCGGCCTTCATGGCGGCGGGAATGACGTATTTGGGTAAGTTCTTGGTGATTTGAGTGTTGAGGATTGTGACATACACCGCGTCTAGGACCATTGTCAGCTTTATCATATCTGATAAAGGCTCATCGACAAAAAAAAACAAACCTGATATTGTGGAGAAGCATGTCCGGATGCTGAAAAGGGCACCAATGGCAATTCCAAAGTCTTTGGTGTCAACCATGAGAGGTGCACCACTGATCGTGATGATTTCCATGTATCCGATGCCGAGGCCGACGAGGATGCTGAAAACAGCGGCCATTGAAAGAGTCAAGCTCGCTGCGGCGCTGGCGCCAACAAAGGCCGTGAAGATAATGCATGACAGGAGAAGCTGCCACTTTATGTATTTGAACAATTTCACCGTGAACCCAGCCATTCCCTGTCCAGCTAGCACGCCGGCCGTGATGGTGCACTGTTCCAAGTCAGGAGAGAGAATGGGAAACAAAAGAGGCATTCTACTTACGCTGTACCAACCAGCCTGACTTGGTGATCTGCCGAAAACGTACCCCAGCTGCTGTGGGTAAAGGATGCACAAGGCGTAGAAGACCATGGAGCCAAAACAAGAGCATGCCAGCAGGCAATTAAAGTTGCGGCTCCTGAACAGGCGAAGTGGAAGCAGAGGCAGGGCTGGCTTTCCAAAGTATTCTGGCAAATGGTCAGTACCTTCCTGGACTGTCATTCTTAAAGTCTCAGTCTCACCCCATAGGACGAAAACGATCATGACAACCCCGCCGACCACGATAGGTACAATGACCTTGTACGATTCCCAGGCTACCAGTCGTCAGTGTTTGGTGTGCCAACCTAGAAAGGCCATACATACGATATCTCTGTCCCCCCCACGAAATTCCGAAGAGGAACGGTACCACTCCACCGCAGAAGAGGATCAAGCCGATGTAATCAAGAGATTTGATGAACTGCCATTTGGTATGCCGGGTATGCAGTTGATCGAACTTGGGAGGATGATAGCAGATGATGAACAAAATGACTGCGGCAAAGGTTGTGCCGGCCAGGAGATAGTAGATTGATCGCCAGCCTTGGGAGGTGTGTGTGGCCAAGGTCAGTGCTAAGAGAATCAATCAGCATATCGCAGCCCGCACCAATAAATTCTGTCTCGGGAAGATGTACATACCAATACCAGGTGCGATTGCTGACAGGGGACCAAAGAGAAAAGCGACTGCGCCAAAGTACAGATAGCGATATTTGTTTGGCAAGAGCTCTGCCCCGATGGCGGCACAATGGGTCTGAGTGGCTGATCCAAATCCCATGAGAACGCCCTTGTCCACACCAGTCAGCCCAAAATATACGAGAAGTGATTGATGCACCAAAGACTTACAGCCCCAATCAGCGTGTTGACTGTCTTTGCTCGACTGGCGACGATGTACCCAACGAAAGCGATGGTGCCGAAGATGATCTGGTACCAACGACGACCAAACAGGTCCGACAAACGACCGACAATGGTGAAGGAAACGGTCTGGCAAATTGTCAAAGAGAGGATGATCCAGATTGAATTCGGACTCGGGTCTGTGCTTTCTGTTACTCATGAAGCTGCTGAATACGTGCCGGTCTGCGTACCAAGATCCGCGAGAATGACACTCAGAGAGAATGAAGGCATCACATATGCCCAAAACCCTGCGGCATAGCTCAGAACCATAGCCTGGGTCTTTATCAGTATCGCGAGATCAAGTGTATCTCGATGAATCGATTGCACATACCGCCATCGACCCAACCAGACGCCAATGGCGAAAGTAGTGGCGTCCCAGGACCGCCGAGTCCTCGACTCCTTTGGCTTCCTCTGCCATGGAGTCGGTGTCAGAGTCGGCATCCAGGTGTTCGATCTGCATATCAGAGTGTCCGACGTGGGAGGCATGTTGAAAGTCCTCGGTCTTCTCCTCCGCCTGATTGTTGGTCTGCATGGCTCGATTTGTCTGTCAGAGTAAAGTCAACAAAGTCAGTCAAGGCTAGCAGGATCACACGATCTCTCTCTTCTAGCAGAGGCCCTGCCACTGGGGTCTCCCCGGCTTATAACAAGCAGGTCGCTCCGCAGAGACCATCCCCCTGGGGTCCCCAGCCAAGTAGTGGGCGTCGGGATCTGGGAAACAAGGCTCCGCCGCACCGGATGATTTCCCAACCTTGTGGGAGGCGCTAAAAGTCTTCTTTTCAGGACGAGTCTATTCCTACAGCAGCTGTTGAGCCTGGCTCGGTGGATCATCTCACTTCCACAAAGGGTCATGGGCCCATGCACTGGGACTGTTATGTTCCGGAGCGCTTTCAATCCCCCTTCGCCAGACCCGCTTCATCCCTTTCTGGCCTTGGTGTCACTCAGAGACGGCCGGAAAAGAGGGCTGCGTGCGACGGCTGGGTCGACAAACCCACATTGGGGTCGGGTCAGGCGGAAATGCTAGACTGCAGAAGAGCTTGACTAGCGAGCGCTACTGACCTTGCCATTTCTTTCGTCTGGAATGCGTATGTGAGAGAGGGAGAGGCATACACACAAGTGATCGCGGTTGTAAGTGGCGAGCAAGGAGGTCGTCGAGCAAAGGTTCTGCCATTCCAGCTTCCGACACACACTCTCTCTACGGAGTAGGTGTCCCTTATCCACAAACTGAAATACAAAGTCTCATTTCTACTCAGCCTACACGGAATATCTGATACGAGATAGTGACCTTCCCCATCTCCTTCACACCAATCTTCCCTTGCCCCACAAAAACAGTGTCGTTGACCCAGGCATATTCCTCACTCCGGGAAAAGATCCTCGGGATAGTGTAATAGTACAGCTGACCAAAGTCGACCTCGCACTTTTCTTCTCCCGAAAACGTCTTGAAGACGTCTGGCGTCACGTGCATCTTTCCGGTGTAGGCAAACTCCATGTTCAGCGAACCGTCGTCCGAGAGAGCACTGGCCCGCGCGTCGATCGACACGATGTTCCCTTTGATCCTCATCCAGTCCGACGCCGTGACCACCTTGGCGATTTTTTGGCCGTCGGGGAGTTCGAGGGTGCCTTCCGTCACTGAGAATCCGCCCGCGCGTGTGGAATCGGGTTAGTAAAATGGATGCGCCGCCGCTTGTGACTTTTGACAATTTCCACAAAACGACAGAAACTGGGGACGCCGGCCCCGGAGCTCCCGGAAGCAAGAAGCAGCCGGGAGGGGAAGGGGATGGGATGACGTACCGTGAGCGACACACAGATCCGAGTGTTTTGTTTCAATGTGCGGAAACCCAGCGGGACCGGTCATGTTGAGGGTGAAGACGTGGGTGAGTTTTGGAGACGTCGCCATCTCTTGTGTCGTCCAGCACCATAGATTGAGGGAGAGGGCTCGGGGATGTTAGAATCAAGGGAGACTACTCGGTGGCGTTCGTTATAATGGTGCAATCCCGATTGTTGTGGGTAATACACCCCCGATACAGCCGCTTGCAAAATCGCCTTCACCCCATTAGCTACTCCAGATTGTCTCCGCCCCACTCCTGGTTCTCGTGGCCGGCTGTACTACAATATATAGCCTAGTCTAGTCTTTCGAGCCACCAATCATAGAAAGCGGCCTTCGCCCCCCAAGTTTCGACAGTTAACGTATCCTACGCGTAATATTTCACTGATCGTTCCGTTGAGGTCGGAAGGTCTACCGAAAATATAAGAGCAGCAACAGATCGAATCCGTACCCGGACCCATTCAGGACACCAATTAACTTACACGCTTCTAAAGAACGCTTCCATCTTGATAAACACCGCTTGTACTGCATACAGGAGTACTATTAGGATAGACTGGATACTGCATCATTCAGCCATTGATGATCTCCTCCGTGTTCGAAAATCCAGCGCCTATTTCTTATTGCCCCTAGAAATCCGGAACGAAGAATATTCCTCCGTACACGCCCGCGTGTCGGGATGATCAGGTCCTAGGACTCGCCGACGTCCAGCCAGTGCTCTCTCATAGAAGATCGCAGCTTGCACAAATCGAGATCGTAATGCTAGAAGATATGCCAGGTTATTCATGCTCGTTAGCGTCTTAGGATGCTCCTCCCCGAGCACCTTCCTCCTCAGCTCTAACGTCTCTCGATGTATCTCCTCCGCCTCCGCGTACTTCTCCTGACCGCTCAGCGCGTTAGCTAGGTTATTCATGCTCGTTAGCGTCGAGGGATGCTCCGCCCCTTGTACCTTCTTACTCAGCTCTAACGTCTCTCGATACATC